GGGAGAGGGCGGGACAGAGGAAAGAAGAAATAAAAAAGGCAACCAGAACCCAGGAAGCAAATATTGAACTCCTACATGAATTTGAATTTAATTTTTAAGAGTGTAACTAAAAAGTTGCCTCTTATCGATAATATGGTTTCAAGACTTCTTTGGCAATTTGTTATGTATAGGAGTAATCAACGTTAACCCAGATTACAATCTTGTATGCAAAATTCAGCAGTTTGTATTAAAGAAAAGCCTATAGGGGAAAAAAAAAAAAACCAAAAACAACCATGTTTTCTGAGTCTCTGAAATCAGACTGTTATTCCAGCTGGTGCTAAGAGTAGTCCAAGTATTTGCTTTCAGCAGAACAGGAAAATACCAGGTTAAATTCACAAAGAAGGAAACAAGTTTCCAAATTTACATATTGGCTAATACCTTAGCTTTTCAAAACCTTAAAGTCAAAGTAACTTTTCTTTAACAACATTTATCTACTTTTTTCCTAGTGATGACTAAATATCTGCTAGTTTAATTTGTGACAATTTACAGTCACAATAATAAAGTTGTGTATTCTTTAAAGATGTATCTCACTGACTAAACCACATTTACTGTTGTTCTCCCTACTAATTCAAATCTATCAGAATTTGTAATGTAGACATGTAGACAATTTAATTAAAAGAATGATTGTAAACTGAAACACATTTTCCACTCCTAAAAAACGAGTGAGAGCTATATTCATTAGCTTTTTCTGTTGCTGTGGTCTGTGCAACATAGTAGTTTAACCAGGCACCTTGTGCCTGAAGTATAATCTTTCTCCAGACTTCAGTGCTTCAGAGACATTTGACCAGCAGTTCACCAGAAGCCACTCCGCCTTCATTTAGGGTAGCCAATAAAAATTAGCAACTCTCCCTTTAAACAGAATGAAGCAGCAAAATGAAATTTCAGGTCTGACTATAAGGTGCCCTCTTTGAATGGGACTGGAAAGTGCACAGGAATGCATATATTTTACTTCAGCAATGTCTTAAAGTAAGGGGGGGGGGGGGGGGGGGGGGCGGTGTTTGGTGATTTTCTAAAAAATTTTGTTCTAATACTGTCAATCTAGATGCTATTCTTGCCACACTGATAAGTTTAAAATGTTTGAGAGTTCATACTTTGTTGAGAAGGCAATTACCAAAAGAGAAAGCATAAATGAATGATCTCACTATATTTCAAAACAGAAAATTTCTATCTGTCCGAGACTAAAAAAGCTATCCTAGAAGAAATTTGAGATTCACTTCACCGTGTATAGATACAACTGCAAGTGCATGCTCCGCTTTTTTCAACCTAAAATGGATTTCACACCATGACAGGTTTCATTCTGCATTAAAATTGCAAATCTTCTATGTGGCCCAGTTTCAGCTGCAATTGATCTGCTTTGTCGTCATAGATAAAAAAAAACAGTGAAGGGCACTGCAGCTTTAAATATTTCAGAGCTATGTAGCTAGTAAATAGACTCCATTGCAATATGGCTCTGAAGGTCGTGTCCTATTGTCTCTTTTCTCTGCAAATATTTTGAACATCATAAAATGGTTTATTTTATACAATACTTCCCTACATTTCTACATCCCATCAATTGTATCAGGCATTTCCTTACTGGAAAGGACAGATACGCCACTCTTTCCATATACACCCACGCTGCTTCTAGATGTATTCAAAACGTCCACTGTGAATCTAACAGCAGGGTGCACACATATCAGATGTATGCAGCTTTTCATATGTATAACTTATGCGAACAGACTCACCATTAAATCCCACCACAACATAAGGACAATTAGTTATTTCAACAATGATAAAATAATTAACTGGATTTCAGGTCAAGAAGCATCTTTGCTTAAAATTAATCTGCCAGTTAGAAAACTGAAGCCAGCAATTTTAACATCTCCTGTTTCTCACATACAGGATAATATAAAAAAAATTATAAAACACAGCACCATGAGAACATAATCTGCCAAACCTGTTTTTCATGAAGGCAGGCTACTACCTTTCGGATGCTGAAAAAATCTGACAATCCCCCCACCCCCAAACCCCCGTCACATTTAGGAATAAGTTACAAGAAAAATAAGACTATAAACCTTAACAGGATTTAGAATCTTTGTGTATGCACTCACTACAAACAGCCCCCCTTCTTTCATATAACTATTTGATGCAAATATGAGTTATGGAGATGCCTCCCAGATAGAACATGAAAGACACCCCTGCAAAAACACAACTCTGTGATAGCTGTCATCATGTAGAAGGTGCATGTAGTTATTTACCTGAAAAGGCAACAGATTGTTGCCATTGTCCGTCCTGAACGCGTTGTCTTCCATCCAGGATTTGGGGGTTAAGGGTGCAGCCCGTGGGAACTTCGGAGGGGCAATGACATTGCTGGAGAATGGTTTTTTAAGGGGTGAAATGGGATTGAGGGGGGAGGGTACACCGACCCCCACTCCCACACCAACACCCACTCCAACTGCCCTTCGAGGGTCCCTACCAGCCTGCAGCCCACCCCAAGGGTTGGAAGGTGTACTCCAAGCAGCATTTTGATGGTTATTCCAGCTGGAGGAGGAAGAGGAAGAGGCAGAGGAGGAAGACGGTTTGCTGGTCATGATGGGCTGATGGCTGTAAGCAGCATTTCTCTGGGCAAAAGGTGCCTGATTAGGGCTTACAGGTGACCTCCGCTGCTGCTGCTGCTGAGCTTGCTGCTGCTGCTGCTGATGTTGGTGGTGTTGAGTCTGAGCTAGGCCAATTTGAGGCGAGAAAGTGCCACCAAACACAGGGTTGACATGGTGTGGAAAATTCTGGAAAAGCATTGTCCCATTGACTGGAGTAATCCCTTGGAAAAAGCTATCATCCACCGTGTTTGTGGTCCCTGTAGACCAGGTGCTGCCGAAGGAGGGAGACAAGGAGGTGCCGGCTGCAGGTTCTTGTTGAGGCTGGTGAAAGCTCAAGCCAGGCAAAATGGGAGACTCCATCTGCATCTTCTCCTTGCTATTTTGGGAAGAAGCCGATGTGCCGATACTAGTCACTGAACTGCTGTCTTCTGGTTTGGGTGTCTCCGATGAGATGGGTGTAGAGGGGGCTTCTGCTGAGTTTGGATCTTGCTGCTGCTGCTGCTGCTGCCGCTGCTGCTGGGGCTGGGCTTTGCTTTTGTCCATCAGTAAATCATCCTGCATGGTTTGCGCAGCTGAAACAGTAAGGGAAAAAAACCACAAAGACAGATTATTAACATTGTCATTCATACCACAAACCAGGCTGTGTTATTCATTTGCTGGCCAAAAATCTCGTCCTGTCGCTTGTGCTATGCTACAGCAAATTGCAAGGCAAACCCGTAATCTTCCCCCTCCCCCATTTAGGAATATGTAACCTTTGGTAGGGCTAAATTGCCTTTAAAAAATTTTAAGATGCTTCACCCTTTTTGATGCCTTGTTTCCCTTCAGTCTAAATGAGAGATGTGCTTATAGGGCAGAGATATACAGCAATTTCGCCACGTCTCTTTTCTCTTACACCGGAACTCAGAGCTCTCACCCTGCAATGAGAAACTGATTCTGGTTCCTGTTTTTCCAAGCACCCTCCTCCTCCTCCACCTCCTCCCCCTGGTTATTTGCATACGTCAATAAATACTGCTGCGTCCTTCAGCAAGGTTAAAAAGACACCAGTCTTCACTCTTCTCCACCCCCTTTTCTATTAGAGGACCTTTAAAGGAGCCGGGTACCGATTTTCCTTAATTAACAAATAAGCTTTCAATTATTTAAATTTATCAGAGAGAAAGCAGACACGAAATCTCGCACCGATACGGGAGGGGTTCTCAGCTGCACGATCGTTTTCTGGCCTTTTTCTGCCGCACAGCTCGCTGCTTGCTTACGGCATGGGAAGCGATCGCAATGACGGGGGAGGGGGGG